GAGTGTAATTAAAACGATTCCATATTAAATCTATTATTTGCTCTTCGCTTAATCACTTTGGTTTATGTGTATCAGATTATTCTAATTGTATTTTATGAAAGTATTCATATGAATTGAGACTGTGTAGGATTCTTAGTGCTGGAGTATGTACATATTTTAGTGTGGATAAATACAGTCTAAATACTGATAAATAAAGGCAGAACATCCTGGTACTGAGGAAGCAGCAGTTTTCAGGAAAAATTATTGAAAATACTGCTTTTTTTAAAGGGTAACCAGTGGTGTGTGATTCTTTGAATTAATTGTGCGAGTATACATGGTTACTTTGTTCTGCAATGAGCCATTTTCTCAAATGAAGAAAACACAGCTTTGAATTTTCATTTAGTATCTCATTTTATTTTGTAAACATTCTTGTGAATGGTAAAAATGAACCAACATCCTAAGAAAAATATCAGAGTATGACATGGCCTTGTTTAACCAGAGGTGGGTAAAGTACCAAAAAAGTTTTTCTCAAGAGTAGCACTACTTAACATTTTTTATTCTAAGTAGAAGGAAATCATCCGAGAATTTACTGAAGAGTAAAAAATATTTGGTAAAATTTAAACCTTTGGTACTAATTACTCAAACCATCTGATTTAATTATTAAAATGGTCTAATCAGAAAGCTATGAGCAAATTTTGGAATTACAAAGAAATTAAATAGAAATAAAATTGCAAATAACATGATTACAAAATAACTAATTTTGATGTAAAACTTAAAAGTCGGTTGAAAAATATTTCTTCTATCTTATTGTTCATAGAAGAAGAAACTGACACTAGTGTAGCCAGAGTAGTCTGGCTCTATTCTCCAACTTAACATCATAAAGTCAGTCAGTCATTTTATAAAGTAACAGGCAGAACTGCAACAATTATTTTGCATAGTGCAGGATTTAACATTTAATGGTCTACAACGACTACAAGGATGTTTGTAGCGCTGCCTTCTGATCTGCAAAAATGTATGAAATTCAGTTAACGTTGAATCTAAAAAAAAGAGAATGAAATAATTCATTTGTTTGGAGAGAAATAATTTTTAATAAGATGCTATACTCTAGTTTTCCAGGATCTGAGTTTAAGAGGCTGAACTGAGAATGTCTGTGAAGTTTCTTTGAACAGCGTTGCTGTTTACATTTCTGAAAGAGAGAACTTTATTTCAGCATTTAAATTATTCATCCAATGTTGACCTAACAAGTCAGATATGCTGTGATGTTGTGATGCAATAAGTGAAGATGGACTTTTTTTTCCCCCCATAAAGTATCAACCATATGTCAACCATGTAAAGAGGTCAACCTTTCAGAGAGATCCCGACTATCAAACATTTAGAATCGATCGGTTTTATTCTTAAAGTCAGAGAGTTTAACACTATAAGGTTCAAAGTTGTTTCTTTTATTTCAAGAAAAAGATAAGAAATGCATCTTTAGCACCCCGAGAAAACACATATTTTACTTCTTAAGAAAATTATTTCATCACATTGCAACACAAACTGTTATTTTCATTGCTTTTAAAATGAGGGAATCTCAGGGATAACAAATCAGCATTGCTTTCTTTATCTTTTATACTCTTATTTTACAGCTTTTAAATGTATTGAAACATTTCATTGTCAACTTTGCATTTTGTATTTTCATGTCTGCTTTCAGTAATTTTCTACCTGCTGCACCGACAGTAGTTTCTTTCATTTAGATTGAACTATTCCTTTAAGTGTCTTTGTCTAAATCCAATAAATATTAACTGAGTTCTGAAGGTCTAACAAACTTAAACTCTAATCCTCAACTGTGAATTGATTGAATTCAATTCATATCAGTCTATTTCTATAGCGCCAATTCACAACACATGTCATCTCAAGGCACTTTCCAGTTTACCAGATCATCCAGTGAAATTGATTCATAGTTTTCTATCTAAGGAAAACCAGTTGATTGCATCGACTCATTGACTCGAAGGCGACCCCTCACACTAAGCATGCTTGTAGCAACAGTGGAGAGGAAAAACTCCCTTTTAACAGGAAGAAACCTCCAGTAGGACCAGGCTCAGTGTGAGCGGCCGTCCACTGAGGCCGACTGATAGTTTTATTGGCTCTAAATGTTTTTATTTTATTTTGAACCATATTGCATCTTGGGCCAAGTATAAACCTCTCCTGTCTAGGGTTGCCAACTCCCTGGAAAAAAAAGGGACACCTCATATGCGTGCCAGCTGACCCGGTAGCCTTCACCCCACCTGGCATGGTGAATTTTTTAGCCCCCCTTTGTGTGTGAAATTATTTTGTTTTAACTATTTGACTCATATCTGCATTCACTTAGATGCATATTTGTGAGTGACATGATCACATGGAAAACAAATTATTATCCAGCAATTCACATTTATACAAAGTCACAAACTTTGCTGAATAAGTATTTTAAACATAAGCCTGTCCTGCTTAACTTCAAACTGTAAAAATTAATATAAAACAATAAATAAATAGTGCATATTTTTGGTGCAACAGCAAACTTGTACAAACTTGTAAACATGCCTCAAATGCAATGACTGTAGGCTACAGTTGTAAAACAGAAAAAGAATCATTAGCTCAATGCCACATTATGTGGCGATAGCCTACTTTTTCCACATATTTCCTCTGAGCTTTTGCAGTAGTGAGAAGTTGTTTGTCTTTGTTTGTCTAATTACTCCATTTATGCCCCATACTGCTCTGTTGTCTCCCGCTATCTTGGCTCGACCAATGGGATAAAGGTATTCTAGATCGTTACACATATGTTGTCAGCCCGTTGGTCAAAACGCTGGACAGGCCTCGGGAACATGTTTACCGTAAAGTTTGTAGACAACGTGCCCTTGATTTTCCATGAGCTTTTTACAGACAGTTTTTTTTACTCTCACAGTAATACAGGACAAAGTGCGTTCCTTTTCCACTAAATACGGGACAGATCCTTCTATTTCTAAATATGGAACGATTCAGTTTTTCAAGGGACTGTTGGCAACCGTACTCCTGTCCCACATGCATAAAAACAGCAAAATAGTTTTTTGGAGGTTCCAAAAAACAACCACAGCCAGCTTATCAATGCACTGGCTACAGATGTATTTCAAGTTTAATTTCAAAATTAATTTGTTTGTTTTTTAGTTTCTTACAGCGGCCTAGTCACATACCTTATTCATTTCAATGCCAAATGCTTCTACTGGTTGCATACAATTGCTTTCTTATCGCGCCCTGTTGGCTTATCGTATCTCATTTCCGTGTATTAGACCTTGTTTTTGTTCCGTTTGCTGGTAAACTCAAGTATTTTGAGTGTTATCTATAGAAAAATCACATGACAAAGGGCATGATGTGACGAAACAATGTAATAAGTAAACAAGAAACTACAGTAGTAGCCATTCAAAATTTCCCCACTTTCCTTGATGGGTCCTTGGCTAGTCCCCTACAGTTCATTTTTAAACATCAATCTTTGTAGTGAAATATTCTTCCTGTCCTGATTTGAGGACATTAAGATCTCAAGAGAAGCTTCATCTCCTGTTCAGACCCTTTAATTCATTGAAAGGGTGGAGTCACAGTAAAGAAAATGAATGCCAGTGGTTGGAAGTTGGAGCGCACTTTGCTGGAAGTTGCAGGGAAGTGGGCTGCCATTCGGCTGGTGCTTGACTTGGGCCATTTTAAATGGCTGCTACTGTAATGGAGTGAATAAGTTACCAGCAGGTGTGAAGAAAAGTCCAAAGAGTTTAGAGTAAAAACTATTAACGTGCTGAATACATTATGAATGTTGATGTTCACTGAAGCAGGAGCTACAGCCACTGAAGCTGGTAGGTTGATGAATGTATTGGTGAGCACTGCCAGCAGATAGCTACGATGTACAGCTAAGGTTATATCCTAAAATGTGCTTGCTGCAAAAACACCTTTTGTTTTCAAAAAGGAAAAAGTAAACACTATCAGGATGAAGGCTAGGAGTATCGTGCTTTATCCATGTAAAGCCCCTGTCACACTTTGACGATTTAGACCAGCGTTTGCCTGACATACACAAAATGTGGCAAAAACGCTGGCATACGTTGGAGAAATTATGGGTACGCTGAAACACGCTGGCACACGTCGACATACGACAAGTATGTCGAGAAATTTTGAGCACGCTCCAAATGCTTAAAATTTGTAACTGTAAGTTACCCATAAGTCGTGGCGTCCAGCTTATGCCTACGTCCACGACCAACAAACTTCAGAGCAGACATGAAGCCGAATCTGCAGCGACTGCATATCTTCTTTATTTCTTTCCATTTTTTCTTTTTATTCATTTATTTTTTTTTTTTGGCTTGTGGTAAACAGCAGCTAGGTCAATATCGCTATCATGGTCATCTTTTTATGCAGACCGAGAGCGTTCGAGCACATCACTGCATCCCCTCAGGTGCATCGCAGAGTGGCGATGCACCTGAGGAGATGCACCCTAACATAGACGATGCAACATAAACATATGTTTTTTTTTTTCTGTATGATTTTTTTTTCTTGGCACATGACCAATCCCAAGCTGCGCAGTAGGTAGTACTGCTGCCTTGCAGCGAGATGGTTGTGGGGTTCGATTCCCGGACCGTGGTCTTTCTGCATGGAGTTTGCATGATCTCTCTGAGCATAGGTGGGTTCTCTCCGGGTGCTCTGGTTTCCTCCCAGAGTCAAAAAAATGACTGTTAGCTTAATTGGCTTCTCTAAATTCTCCTTAGATGTGAGTGTGTGCGTGAATGGTTGTTTGTCTCTGTGTTGCCCTGCGATGGACTGGTGTACCCTGCCCGTAAACAGCTGGAGATAGGCACCAGCACCCCTCGCTACCCGACTCTGGATAAAGCGTGTCAGAAAATGGATGGATGGATGACCAAACCCATTAAATTGCCATACACCAGTATTTTGGGGGTGTTTTTGTTTTGTTTTTTTAACAGCTATTTCCAGATGTGTCCCTCATAGACTGCAGGTTAAGAGCTGACATTTTTTCTTTTTTTTTTAATGTGCCTCATCAGATATCGGACCTTTGTCTCAGAAGATGCAGGACCTAACACACTTGTTGCAACTGTGTTGGCAAAGGATCCCGACGGGGATGGGATCACGTACAAGATTACCACAGGAAACGATGAAGGCAACTTTGTCATCGACAGTCAGAAAGGTAAGATGTTTCTTCTACGATTCATGTGTGTCAGATCATAAATTCTTACCAAAGTCACTCTGTTGTTTAATGGCGGACAGTGGTGGCTTAGTGGTTAAGGTATAGAGCTTGGAATCCTGTGGTTCTGAGTTCAAGCCCCAATCCCCCAAACTGCCACTCTGGGTCCCTGAGCAAGACCCTTAACCCCACACTGCTCCCCGTGATGGCAGCCCACTGCTCCCCAAGGGAATGGGTTAAATGCAGAGGTAAATTTCTTCAATGTGTGCTCAATTATTGTTATTAGTTCATACTGCTTTTCTAATTCTGAATTCAGATGTTTTAAGTCCCCCTTCACTAACACATACTTTATGACATTATTGGAAATGCCTATTTGGTGACACAGGTGGCTTTTAAAAATAAAAAAAAACTATAGAGCTATATATTATAGATGCAACAACCCTCATACTAACTTTATCTTAAAAGAAGCAGTGAGTAGTAAGGTAAGTTGGCAGTAAGTCATTATTTTAGAGAGAAAGAACTAGAACATCTATGAAACACGCTGTGACATCGTGTCCACTTGGCTGCTCGCTGTTTTCTGAGATTGCCGCTTTTCTCCTTAGCAGCATTTTTTTGCGTGCCTTTTTGTGTTTGCCAGTCTCATTTATACGACGGAGTATTAGGGCCACACATGAAGAGAAAAAATATTTTTGCCATGACGAGATTAAACTCGACATGTCGACTTTAAAGTAAAGGTACGACGGAGTATTAGGGCCACACATGAAGAGAAAAAATATTTTTGCCATGACGAGATTAAACTCGACATGTCGACATTAAACTCAACATTTCGAGAATAAAGTTGAAATGTCATGTTGAGTTTAATCTCGACGTGTCGACAATAAAGTTTAAATTAGTTCAAGAGAGCCAACCGCTGCACAGGATACATGCACAGAATCCTATACAGTTGCAGCACGTCAAAGACTACCTTCACTCTTAAAACGCAGACTGCAGCTGTGGAGCGCGGTTGCTCTTTTCTCCAAACTTTGGAATGTCGAGATTAAAGTCGCCACGATATATCAACTTTATTCTCGAAATGGCGAGTTTAAAGTCGACACGTCGAGATTAAACTCAACATGACATTTCAACTTTATTCTCAAAATGTTTAGTTTAATGTCGACATGTCGACTTTTTTTTCTCAAAATGTTGAGTTTAATGTTGACATGTCGAGTTTAATCTCGTCATGGCAAAAATATTTTTTCTTTTCATGTGTGGCCCTAATACTCCGTCGTACATTTATATGTTTGTGGGGCTTTTTGAATTAGCTGTGAAATCATGGCGTTTTTACTCCCCTTGGCCATGCTCCATTTCAGCTTTGACTTTCAGATACTTTCAGAATTTGATGTAAGCCGAATAAAACAATGGATCAGACCCACACTGTTTAATGTGCTCTGTATGGAAATTATTATCTTGGAGTATTTTGAGACCTCAAGTATCAGTCTTGTTAATGACCATGTCCAGCCCTTCATGACTGCTTCCAACAGTCATTTCCTGCAGAATAACGCACCATGTCTTATACTCAGGAAAAGTCAAATTGATTTCTTCAAGATTAAAATGAGTTAAGTGCCCTTCAATGGCCCCCACAGTCACCAGATCTGAATCCAATAGAGTGGCTCTGGATGTGGTGGAACATGAGATTTGCATCATGGACGCGCAGCAGTGAAATCTGCAGTGTGTAAAGCTGATGTGTCAATAATACACATCAGTAGCAAGAACTGAAGGCATGTTTCCATCACCTTGTTGAATCCAGGCCATAAAGACACACTGAGTCACATCTTTGTAAAGCACATGAGTCCTGACAGGTCAGGTCATGATGATATCAGGATATCAGCCAAAGTGTTGAAAGGGTTCCTACACGTCTTTGTAACAGAGCACCCTGTGGAGGTTTCCACTCGCACATCTCCCCATCCTCTGAGGCAGAGGCTGCATGAAATAGGAACCTGGGTTAATGGCGCAGCGTGTTTCTGTCTGTCATCTCCTCTGGCTGATGTTTCATACATGTTCATCGTTTTCTGTCGACTAAAGCTTTGTATCACATTATAGAGGAAAACGATGAGGTTCAATTAGTTGAGACTTCAGGGAATCTTTCCTTTGTTAACCAGCAATGACATTTACTGCCAGCCAATAGCCACTGTTTTTATTGCTTTTTTTATTGTGAGACTTGAAAGCAAACATAACTTCATTTAATTGCCTATCAAATAACTGCAGGATTTGTTTGCCATTTATCTTCATGATCTGCTGTTGATTTATCCCACAATGACCTCATTTCTTCTTGTCATTGGTTTTAAGAATATGTTTTAATTACAATTTACCTTTACCAAAATGAATTTCATATAGACAGATCAAGTTACAAAGGTTTGTGAAACAAAACATTTTAGTCCCCACCTTTAAACTTTGTCAAAGAGAAGACATTCCTCCACAGAGAAACTTCATTTCTTTTTTCCCAGATTAAAGTTTATTTAGTTTCTTTGGACTAAACGCATGTCATCCACCACAGGGGGAAGGAATTCAATACCGTTTTTGTTCTGAGAAAATAGATGCAACAACAGTCCACTAGACAAACCAGTCCCTGATTTTCAAATTGTATTCTTACAAGCAGGGACAGATTTCGGAAATTTGGGGCCCTAACCAAAGACAGGCAGGGGGCCCTCTGAATTGAGAAGACAAGACATAAAACAGACCCATTATACAGATACAGACATGTTAATAGAATAGACATACGTTATTTGTTCTAGGTTTTGTCCCTCTCTTCCTGTCCCTCTTCTTCTTGTTTTCCTCTCTATGTTTTGTACTCAGCTGACTTTTCATGCTGTCTCAAAAGGAATGAAATATTTTTTCCAATCACTAAGCTCACTTAGCTGATTGCTCCTTCCTGTGTTTCCAAAAAGGCAAAAGTAAATAACCCAGTCCTTCTTTTCACTGTAGACCTGCCATGATCTGCTTATCTGTTCTCCATTTTTCATTTGGATGAAATAATAGCTGCATGAATCATGACAGCGGACAAGATAGAGGAGAGCAGGAGGCGGGGTTAACAATCTACTTGCTCTGGAGAGCAGAGTTCGCTGCTTTTAGATGTTTTCGCCAAAGTCTCCAGTGGCAGAAAAAAGTCTGTAGATTTGGCTCTGGGTTCTATTTTGAAATCAAAGTGCTAGAGGGGTCTGAAAAGTCACTAAAAATAGTGACTAAAGCGCTAAGTTGGCAACACTGCTCTTCCTGCCGGTTGTTTTCAAATAGTAAACAGAGTTTTATTGGGCCCCCCAGGAACGTGGGGCCCCAGGCAACTGCCTAGTATTGCCTAATGGTAAATCTGTCTCTCCTCACAAGGCAAATATTTTGCTGTTGAGTAGAAACAGAGTCAATATAGATGATACATGGGGGTTTATCATGTTTTATTTGAAAAAGATACCATCTCAGATGTCAATGTGAAAATCAGCGGGTTGGGGCCGATGGTTCCTCCAGAACTCTGCTCTCCAGAGCAAGTAGGACGGGACGCTGTCCTCTCCCATACACTGACTGGTTTATTGAACTCAATATTTCTTTGAATATTATATTGATGATTGAGCTGTTCTCACAGCTCTGGTGATGGAGTCGTGGTGCCACTGCTCTGTACAGTGCACCTCTTTTCGCACACCTATCAGTTTCTGCTCTGTTAGCGAATTCAATGTTCCTTTCCCAGGCAACGACATGCAGACATTTTACACACAAAATTACTATCATTATTATTGATTATGACTCAAAAAGAGAAGATCAGACAGAGGAACAACAAATCTGAGTTAAAAACTTAGGTTTCCTCCTCATAGTTTAACTCTGAGTTTAAAACTTTCAAATAAAAAGATTGAAGTTGTTTGGATGAGGTATAAGAAAGGCAGAGCCACAGTGTGGCCAAGGTAGAGCCAAGGAGAAAGCACCTTTCTTACTACTACTACTAGAAAAGTAATAACTTGTTGACATCATGCTTGTGTTTCATGGAAGCAACAGAGATGGAGAGGTTGCCTCTTTAGACACCAAGTAGAAGTATTAAAGGAGTTAAACTCCTCCTTCCAGTTAAACTCCTCTCAGCCAGTAGGGGGCACATTTTTCTTCTATACTCTTTGCCAGCCGGTTTGTTTGTTGTTCTTCACTTGAACCCTAGTTGGGAAGAAGCTGGTCCTCAGCTCTATCATGAAGCCATAAGGTTCAACACCTTAGCTTCTTCTCACCTGAGTTCATCTTGCTGTTCCTATTGGATCCTTTTATGTTGGCATGGTAACTAGGAGTAAATCTTTATATATTTTGAACCTGTCAAAATGTTATAAGACTATTAAAGTTGACTGTTTTTTTTTCCAGTGGAATAAATAGTTTAATTCTATGACATTCTAGACGTTCTGTTATTTGATTATTTTGAGAATATTAATTATTTTGATGAAAAGGTTGCAGGAGTGACCTTTAAAGCACCAAGCGGCCGTACAGCAGAATCCACTGAATAAAGTTGGTCTCTAACGTTATAGCAAATAGATTATAAACAGATTAACAGGTTAAACAGTGATTTTCCTTCATGCTGTTGGTAAAAGGTTGAATAATTCTGCTGCTTCATCAAATACTTTCCATTTCTAACATCACTGCGTTCATGTTTAAAGTGTCCTGGTCTCACTGTGTGGCTTTCTAAAGCAGGAGGCTGCTCTGCTGCAGATGCTGTGACATCTCACTGCTCAGCTGCCTCACCTTCGACTCTGGTTGGATATTAGTCACATCAATGACTTTCTCTGAAACATAAATAAACATAAAATCTGTTCCACAAACACAGCAGGATCAGAAATGAAGAAGAGAAAATAGCAGATTGAGCTCTTAGATGCCAAAATGCCTCAAACCCTGAGGTTTCAAAAGTATTAATGTTTATTACTCAAGTAGAAGTATAAATCCTGCTGTTTAAAGCACTTTTGTAGATATTAGAGGATCAACTTAAGCTTTTTATTCAAGTAAAAGTCTAA